TGAGTAAGATACTTATCTGTAGTTTATCTTTGTACGTCTCGCGAGTACCCGACCCAGTGCAGGACTCTGCTGTGAAGGAGGAGACATGCGGCGGTGGTGTGTTTGCGACAATACAAGTCAGATGAAATGGACGGTGTGATGGTTTGTGAATTAACTAAACGGTTTCCTTCAAAACATTCACGAGTTCAAGAGAGATAATTTTTCTCTGCAACTTTTTTTTTTCTTTTAAAAAAGCTCCTTTTCTGAAAGCTGCTGTATTTACAGTTAAATACGATATGTACAATGTTAGTGGTCTGCATTTTTTTAATCCAGGATTGGTGCAAGAACTCCAACATCTTCACACCTGTTAGATGTTCCTTATTGAAATCTCACACTGGTACAACATGTGGGCATCTCTATCCAGTCTATATGTCAGGGTGTTGACTTTTAACTCAATATATATCAGCCACAGTCTGTTTATTAGCACAGGTTTGACTTAATGATCTAAATGAAGACAAACAGCTGAACAAATACGAAAGCTTCCCACATGGTGCATCCTGCAAATTAATCAGTATTAAAGTGCTAACTTGTTAAATAAAAGCAGAAATTAAAAAAAACAAAACAAAAAACATGGAAAATCAACTCTCAACCAAAATTTAAAGTGTACAAAAATTCTGTGCAGTTCTTTCTTAACAAAGGAACACAGACACTTCAACTACAAATCTTCCATGTTGTTTCCATGTTGTTACGTCAGTTAAAGTCCATCACAGCTCCAACAGAGCTTGGATTTCATCGATGCGAGATGTTTTCCTGTCGTTGTTTGTGGAGCCGAACGCCTTCTCCACCAGGTCCTGCTTCTTCTTCTGGATCTTTACCATGTTCTCCTCCACCGAATCCTTGACAATGAACTGCAACAACAGACACAAACACAAAGAAGTGACAAAATAAGGTTTACAGTCCTCATGAATGTAGTATGGAAAGTGTGATGCCTGTGAGACATGTAATAAACTTTCTGGACCATAATACTGCAGGACATAATTTCTGACCTTGGTAACAACAACGTTCTTCTTCTGGCCCAATCGGTGGCAGCGGTCAATACACTGCTCTTCTGTGGCTGGATTCCAGGCCTAAGGGACGTACACGGATCATTGCAAGGGAACACACAGTGAAAAATGTATTCCTAAAAAACGTGTTTGAGTAAATATCTCTCTGTTGGGATCTAATCTGCAGAGTTTCCTTTTGGAGATTTAACCAAGGAGGTGATCCTGTTATCAGTTTAGCTATTAAACAATCCCACATTAGTCATGAAAGGCATTTGTGCTGCTTTCCATTTTATTCTTTTTTGATGATGTTCTTTATTGTTTAAAAAGTGTGCACAACTTGTGATTGATGCTGACAGAGCCGGTCTTTATTGAAGGTGAGTCAGCTCACCTGCACTACAACACAACAGGAAATCCCTGACAAAATTAATATACTGACTACTTTGTCACTGCCTGCTGAATGTACACTCTGACATGGCGAAAGTGCAACAGAGAAACCAAAAAAAAAAAACATTTCTGGGAACTATCTGCACATCTTTTTCAGGACACAAGTACTTAGGAGGGGGACAAGCATATCCAAAACTCTCAAACAGACTCCCGC